ACTGTTTGGTTAGACACGCGGTGTAGCGTCCTTTGTCTTTCTCCTTCAAGTAAGCTGTTTTATTCGCCAGATTGTTTCACAGTATCATGCATACCATTCCAGCAACCTTCTTGCCGAGATCCTTCCCACATTTAGGCTCTTTATCATCTCTTACGCTTCTGCCTGAGATACCTATGAAAGATGTTTGCACATTTGTAAATTGATGAGAATACAATTAAGCTTGACGTTTTCAGTCTATTTCTGTTCTATGGCTCTTCTACAGCTCTTTTGTCACTTTTTCTTACCGAGAGTCCCGGCCTGCGTGAAGATCGATCTCACACTAATTTCTTTTTTAATCGTAGTTCATAGATATGACTTTCATATATTCACAAGCGATGAATGAGTGAGTGAGTAAGTTAGCGTAACAGTGGAAATCCGATCTTAACCCAATTTTGACCCAATGTTTCCCATTGCTACTCATTGTATTTTTTTTGGGGGGGGAGGAGCATCTTACTAATTCGACATTCGCACCCGATACACAGTTGACTTCGCTAAATTTGCAAAGCGAGCACGTCGTGAAATACGATTCATAAGCGTTATCGACCAAGCATGAGGTCAAGATGACTGGATATTGGCCGAGTTTTTTTTTTTTTTATATTTTTTTGCGTTTTTGGGGACCGAGATGAAGTTTTTTCTTGCACGGGATCAATACGGGCAATCCCGAGCGGGTAAGATGAGCCACTCGGGTAAACAATCATAACACACTATTTGCTTCAACTTGCTGCTGGCCGCGGGAGCTGCCAGCTATACAATAACTTGAGTTATTCAACAGAATTTACTGACTGAAGAAACAGTGGATCAGTGGATTTGTGGATTAGTTTAAGACGCGCAATAACCAAACTCCTAAAACACGGAACACCAGTTTGTGTGAATCAAGTCTCAAAAATGGAATTGTACTAAAATAGTAAAATATTCATAATTAACGGGTGAATTAAAAGAAGCATAGGTGGTCATTGCTAAATGCAGAGGATTGGCAACCATTGGTCTTTTGAATTAGCCCCATTAAATTATTGCTATCATTATTTCTATTTTTGTTAACAGTATTAACTGTTAACCCATTTAATCATTGGTTGAATGTTTTCTTAGCGT